GGTTCTAAATTCTTTGTCTACTCCAAAAAAAAATCTGATGTAACGAGCCTCAGCCTCCAATCCTCCAACGGCGAGTTTAACTTTAGGCACATATATGGATCTGTGGGTTCGGAACGACTGCTCGCTTGGACGTGTTAATTCACATGGGCAGCTAAGGCTCGGCAGGACCGACACCTTCTCGGGGGTCCCTTCTGAAACGCCCTCTCCAATGCAAAAATAGCAATATTTTAAGCAGGCTGTCACAAATATCCCGTGAATTTATTTTCATAAGGCTCTTAATGGAAATGGCTGCACATTTACATTGACTTTTATATTGAGTGTGATAATAACATTCAGATATTGAAAGCCAAGAAGCAGTGATATCATTAATACACATATCAATCCGAGACTGAAATGCTGGAAGCAAAAGCCCTATGGGTAATGATATTGATGGCTCTGGTTCTTCTTGAGGTAAAACTTGTTCTGTTGGAACTCAACCCTCAGAACAAAAACCCCTAAGTGAAATGCCCTGCATTTGAAAAACCTTTCAGTGTGTCTCCAATTATCGTAACAGCGAATATCTGATATGAGTTGCTAGCATGTTCACAAATTAAAAGAGAGACCTAATGATATTGCTTATGTTCATGCTGAGCATTAAAAGGTAATGTCTGAAAGGTTTTATTGTGTTAATAAAACTCAGAGGTGGTCAAGACTTGATGCACACAGCAATAGAATGCAAAATAATCAGTCATAATGTTACGACTTCATTTTTCATTTGTGTTTTCAAGTTTGCCTTGAAAATCGGAGATTGCACTAAAAGAAAAAAGACAACATTATATCAAAGAAAAGGAAAAAATTATAAGCATGACTTATCTTTAATGTTTTACATCAAAATGAAATTTCTGTGATATGTGTCATGTGCATAAACAACACAGGCAGCTTTTGTCTTTGTTGAATTTAAATGAAAAGTCCCTCTAGATATTAATATGTGGACTTCATTTGTTAGCCTGCTAAGTCAGGGACTTATAACAAAAGCTTTGTAAACAAAAGATTAAACTGAATCGAGCTTTAGAAAATGAAAGGAAAACAAGAGTCAAATAATCACAGATCAGAGTGGGGCTGCTTAGATTGAAATCACTACAAGCTACTGGAGTGGAAAATGTTTAATTGAACTATTTCATTACGCAGGAAGTTTATGTCCCTCTTGTAGAATCCAAAATATTTGTATCAGAAAATCCATTCTCTTTCTTTAAAATACTGTCTTGCAAGTAACACATATGATCTTAAAAACTGCTTATTAAGTTAACGGCAAAAAAAAGTAATGTGAAAATAGGTCCAGCTTAAGAATTAGCGTCGCTAAAATTCATCTGTGGACAGACTTACCAGAGAAGTTGCTACATTAGAGATAGAATCTGCATGGTCAGATTATTTTTGCTGGTCATAAGCAGTACACACACACAGAATCAGAAACGCACGGCGCACGTTTTGGACTCTTTACTAACCTTTGGTAACCTTTCAGGATCACCTGGATGTCGTGGAATAACTTTCTGCAACCTTTGAAAGCCATAATCTATGGTCGGTTCATTAAGTGCTAGAACATAAACAGATCGGTCAATTTAAACAGCACATATTAATAAAGATATACATCTCAACAACTGTTTGTTAGCACGTTTTACAAGCAGAGTGTAGGTTTCTTCTTAAATCTTATCACAGTTACAAACCTCAATTTAAAATCTGTCCTGAGGAAGAGTGTTTTTCTTTTCTTTTTTTCCCTTCAGAAAGCAATGATTACTTCTATTTATAATTAGACTGGAAAATAGTCAAAGGGTTATCCAATATATTGCAAAAATGGTAGTGCAGTAACAAAGTTAGAGGTCTTGAGGCCATATAGAGCAATCACTACAGTCATGATATGATGTCTGCATCATGGGCTGCTTTCTATACTGGCTGTGGATTTATGGGAAACTGGCAATTATGACATATGTCCAGCTATTGCTAGCTTCAGATTTATCCCTGTGGTCCTTTTTTGTCTAGCATATTGCCTGAGCACAAACCAGGCAGGAGGAGCACTTAATCTTGCAAAGCTTTAATAATCTGTGAATGGCTGACTACAAACTGATGTAGAGCACTATCATTCTACAGCTGCAATCCACTAGCCTCATGAAATTGCAGGCCACAAATAGTAATTAATCTTTTTATCCCTCAAATTGTAATTTTGACTATGAACTGTGCTTGGTCATAAATCAGCAGCACATGCTGCTGTGTACAGTGCATGAATCATGATCCTGACTCAGTTAGACTGCACACATTGTGTTTAACAAGCTTTATAAGGAGTCATAGGGCTTTATTATAGCTCTGCCTGACTCAAACAAAAACTGAGCCTGGAGGCCCAAGGACTAGAGTTAAGATGAAAATACTTATTAGAGTATATTACTTCTTGATGTAGATATCGTTTTCAGCAGAGTAACTCCACGGTGCATGGCGCTACATAAATCAATGGGTTTTCTGAGACTAATAAGAA